TCAAAATTATTTGGTTTAGCTCATAGAAGTTTAAGTGCTTGAATCTGTATTGAATTTGATTGAATTGTTTCGCTTCTTCTGATGAAATCTGATATTATCCCATTATAATGAAATCTTAATTGACATAGTCTGATTGACATATTACGTAAACGTTGTTGATAACTGCTTGACATAGTCAGAAGCTTTAATGTTTTGACATAAACTGATCACACCGGGACTTTCCTGAATCCGCACTGATTTTCGTCAACAAATAAACTGTTCTTTTTATTGATCACAGTTCTTTCGAATTTTTGTGCATAAAGCTGATTGTTGTGAATGTCAGCAGTTTGTTTTATGTGTCAATGCGTTAATGTTAAACATCTATCAAATGAAACATGTTTTCCATTCATCATTTATTCAAGTTTTCAGGCAATTTCAGGCGTGTTCCAAAAAAATTAGAATTGAAGGTAAAACTGATAGTGATAATAACAAACACGAAATAATAATAATAATAAATATAATAATTATGATGATAACAATGATACTAACAATAACGATAATAATAAAATGTACAAATATAATAATAAATATAATAGCAATAAATAATAGTAAATATAGCAATAATAGAGCAATGGTAATTTATCTCACTGTAGTATTCAAAAGGAACAGCCAAAGTCTGTTGGAAACTGTTCTATTCTGTTCTTTTGGGCTCAAAAACGGCTTTATTCTGTTCCAAACTGTTCCTTTCTCATTTACGAACTGTTCTATTATATTCCATCGAACAGAACAGGAATACAACAGTTTAACTGGAATAGAGACATCACTAGTCAGATAAGACAGTTCACTGAACAGAAGTTTGTTATTGAAAACAAAATTTCATGTTCATTAAACTTTAGCATTGAAGAAAACTCGCACAGTCATCTTCTATACAAAAGAGAGCTTGCGTAGTTCTCTGCAATGCAAAAGGGAACTCGCATAGTTCTCTTCAATGCAAAAGAGAGCAAGCTTATTGTTAGTTCTCTATAGCACTGAAGAGAACTCGCACAGTTCTTCAATGCGAAATAGAACTTGCATAGTTTGCTTTGCATTCTTATTAGGATCATTATTAGCTTTATTATTATTATTATTGTTATTATTATTATTATTGTTGTTATTATTATTGTTATCTTATTAGTAATATTATGTCAACGTCCATTCACAATATATATGTAAAATTCAGTTTTGAGGTATAACACCATGATTTCTCTGGACTGTCAGGCTCAGCAGATTCTGTGGTACCGAAAATGTATATGCGTTAGTTGTCGGTTGATGATTGCAAGTTCCTGAGGAGTGATTAAATTTCTAATGTAATAACACAGAGTTGGACAATCCCATTGTGCTGGTGGCATTAATAATGCACCGAAATGATCATAGTTCAAAAGTTGATTTGTTAAAATTTCCACGCATTACGTTGTGACACCATGCAATCGTATTGAACTTATTTAATTCTCAAATTAATAAACCATTTAAATACATTACAATTATCACATATTAGTCGTTGGAATCATCACCAAGAATCGCGTACAGTGCAAAAGTGAATTGTTGCTTTGTTGAGGTAGATCACAGCATAATTATTTTGTGCATAGTTTCCTCGAAAATAATTTCGCTTTTTGGGTTATGGCAAAAACGAGTGTCAACTACTGGCCAACCAAAACGGTTTCATCGTTTCATTTGAAATGTGCCAAGGGTCCTACCATTAACCTATGCATTTATAAATCTTCCCACCATATGAATTCATCTAACACAGCGATCTGTACACGGATCATACTAAAAGCTGATGAACTGATCATACGTCCGTTCAGGTAAAAATTGATGAACTCGTNTGTCAAAGTAATGCCCAAAGCATGAAAATATCAAATAAAGCACTGTACGTAGATGGCTGGAACATGAAGGTATATGCGAAGAGAAACGAGTATTACATAGCAAATCAGACAAAAAATGTACAAAAGCAGTAGATTGCATTAATCTCGAAATGCAATAAATTTCACTAGAAAAGCATTTTATGGTTGAGATCGTGAGGATCTATCACAAAAATTAGTGCTCTAACTGACGATGACCCGAGAGTACTTCTGTGAAAGGGTAATCAGGATGTGATTCCAATCTGCAATACCGCTTGTGTATACAATACGGTTCCATTTTACGATGTTCGATAAATGAAAATTAATCCAATTCATGACCAGTCAGAAATAACTGTGATATAGATAACTGAAAACGCAAATAAACAAGCGATTCACCGGATCAGTCTGCAGTCGAAATGTTTTAGGATGTGTACGGTTCACGCTGATCCAGCCTAATTTTTTTGGTTTTTCTTTTTATTGCAAAATCGCTACTGAATCATTCCGCTCTTCGATCAGGGAATGTGACTGAATTTGATAAGAAGTTCAATGAATAAAAGTGCTACACCACTAACCCACAGCCGGACCACGTATACAATCGCCCTTGTGGTTCGATACGGTTCAGCTTATTCATGTCATCCGATGAGATTTCAAAATCGAATATCTGCAATGAATATCCTCCCAGTATCTTCGTCGGTACACTTATTTTATGAGGTTCTGAATTTCTTGGAAAGCAACGTTTTTGGAGAGTATTAAAAAAGTTGTTGAATAAGTCACACTGATGCAAACTATTTGTAAACTCAGCGGTCTAATCGACTCTTTGGGAACAACTCGTTCCTGGACGTCCGCAATTAAGCCAAAGCACTCATTGATAAATGGGCAGGATAGCGATTTCAAGTGGGCATCTTGCCGTCGAAACCTGCCCTCATGATTTCAAACTTACGTTGAAATTCTCGCGTAATCGTTCGGCGTTTGTTGATTTCGGAATGACAACAATCTGACGTTGTAGCAAATGCCTGAGAAGGATTTGTGCCGGCGTTTTGCCATATTTCTTTGCCAACTCCTTTACTATCTCATTGTCAATGGCCACTTTCTCGGGCCATCCATCCTTACCGCGTCTACCTGAATCATCACCGATTGAAAATCTCACGAAAGTAACTGGAGAAATTTTCAATCTTAAGAGCACGTCCTATTCGAACTGATGATCCACGATAGATCGACTAACAAACTGCTTCAAGCCTTCCTTTGCAAGGTTCCTTAACTCACCCTCAAATGAAACTCATTCTCATTGCAATCAACAGAAGCACGGAGCTCGAATATTATCGTTGTGATCAGCTATGAATGCTACTAATTGGTCACTCACTTGGACATCCCAATGGAGCGAATGCAGTTACCGCAATATTCAACGATGTGCAGAGTGTGTGTAGTTCACGTTGTGGGAAATATATATGCACCTCAATCTGCAACAAATCCAGTTTTTGAAACCAATCAATTCATTACCTTCAGATTTTTGCAATAAGTTGGATAAATTTTGAAAATTTCCTGTTCATTGCAGTGTGCAATTTCACTATCTCCTTCACCATATTATCAGCGGTTTTAATGTTTGCTTATGGCAGCAACGGATGAAACAATCTTATTACCATCAGAAATTGAAATGAACCTGCAAATTATGCGGTTTCACTTTAGCCGCATGATAAATATTCTGTATTTGTTCGACGTTGAAGTTCGACAGGCCAATCGCCTTCGCTAATCCTTTCTCGTAGACTTTCTCCATTGCTTGCCATGTTTTTGTCAAGTCAACATGATCGTGTTTCTGGATTTGATTCGCTCCACTGTACATTCTAAATCCCTCTGGTGAAGGCTGAAATAATCGTCAATCCATTAAAGAACTGAAAATATCTCAAAAAATAAAGCGCGACGTTCATCAGCACATCAATGGAATCATTCATCCTGAATCAATATCCAATTGAATGTCATCAGTTTGATCATACATGCATCAGGTAGCATTGGAAACTTCAGGCGATCAATTTGCAAAATGTTCACGAATCCATCTGTCATGATTCAGAATCTGTATTCATAAATACTTTCAATAATTTGGGCTTTCCACGGCAACTAATTAATCACTTGATTGTAATCGGGTGGCCTGTACGCCTA